AATACGTAATTATATTTTTTTTCTAGTTTGATATTAGGGTGTGGGTGTGAGTGTAGGTGTGAGATGTAGAGAACGAATTATCAATACCGATCCTCACATCCCACACTCAGACTTTATTACTACTTATTTGTCTGTTCCAATTAATTTAGATGATCGAAATTTTGAATTCAAGAGTCATATAAATATTATTGCTTGTTTTTAAAATATGCGATTCTTAATTATTAACATATTGAACTTTTGATTTAATTCAATTGATGATTTGAAAGTCAGGATAAAGAACAACTCTAGTTACATTTTCAATTAATAAAATAGAGATATACAATGTGATTGTGAGCGTGGGCAAGGAAAAGATCAACATTGGGACCAGCAGCCGTTCTGCTCTCCATCCTCTTTTTGCACGACATTTACGGATCGACTCTTCATACATCATGACGACTTACATGAAAATCTTCTGAAAGTGAAGTATCTGAAAATAAAAACTTTGTTATGTATGCTGCAATTGTAGTAGTGTCATCAAATAGCTTCACATAAATTTGAAAGAAGATGACAGGTCTGACTTGCTGTTCTAGCATGTTTCAAGTTCCTCTTTTGTAGTGTATTGACAATATTTGTTATTATTGTCACATTTATTTCATTTCTTATACGTTGGTGTTTGTCTACTGATGAGTCATGATTTAGATATATGTATAATTCTATACATATATATGTGTGTTCTTGTCCTTTATGTTGTGATCACTCTAATTTCGTATATAACAATATTTCTATTGTTATATTTCTTTTGTTTCTTTTTCGTATTCTGCATTCCATTTGTATGAGTTATCATAACATATAGATCTCTCGATATATATGCTTGTCTTTTCTTAAAAAGATGATTACTTTTGTTCGTTTCGTTTCATCTAACTCATGATAGATAGTACTTTTACACTAGAGTATTGTGCAGAATAAACATGTCAAATCAATCCTTGCTTATTTTTCGATAAATAATACGACTAAATCAGTCCTCCAATATCTAAAAGGTTCTCACCACTGTTTCTGCCTGTGATGCAACGAACAGAATGCAATTCACCAGTAACTAGTGTAATGTGTGAATATGCGTCCAGATAGAAGTTCATATAAAATGTCAACACATCTACATCCTCCAGACGACTTATATTTTAAAGTTTTCTTAACCAAAAATTATCGAAACAGAGTTAAAGGGTTATATTTGGTATCATCATTCGAGTTCTATCAAATAATGTGGAATTTATTAAACTATATTTTGCCCTGCTATACTTTTGATTTCGCGTACCTTACTTTCTTCTATACCTTTGCTGATGCTCTTTAGTATTTTCAACTTCGAAGGGATAAATCATATCAATGTTCAATGTTGGGTTGTTGGGCGAAACTTCATATAGTTAACAACTAAAACAACAATATAGGCGATTATTGTCACAACAGAGCAAATTGATCTACTAGTGAATATTCATGAACTTGAATTATAATTCTGTAAACTTTTACTATTTAAAAAACTATTATTGAAGAATTAAGTTCGTAAAAATCAGCTAATAACAGATGTGAATAATTGATGCTAGACAACGTTATTTGTAAATGTTGACTGCTGTAAGTCTATGCTTTGATACTTACAAAAAATCAAAAAATAATGAAATAAAATCTTTCATTGCAGAAAATTCACAAAGACGAAAAAACTGCATAAGAAATATAGCACAATTAACGTACGATACAAAAGTAATGGTACAAATGTCGATCCCTATTTCTCTTCGTTAGAGAGGTGTTGAAAAAAAAACCTATATTACCAAAAGGTAGAGCTTTTTCTCCTCTTTCAAATCGTATATAACATATTTTTATAACATGTTCACAGACGAAACAACGCCACAGAAAAGAGAAGCACCCTTAGAAAGCATCCGCACTTTTTGTGAGATACCAAAAAACATCGCAAAATGTTGATCCCTATATTTGTTCGATAATTAATTTCTGCAAAGATTATTTTTTTATCAGTCGATAGAAAATTTTCTCCTCTTTCGAACAGTATATGATTTATATTTGTCACACATTTATAAATAAACTAACAGAAGAAAAAAAGAGAAGAGTACTTGCACGATAAATTCGTAATGCTTACATGAAATGGTCAAACAATCTTGTTACATAGTAATTAATTTGATTTTTGTGAAGCCATTAAAAAGATCTTGTAAAATGGTGCTTACCTTGACTTGTATGAAATCTGTAAAAACAATTTGTAAAACGACAGTTTATTTTAATTAACTATCATGCTCAATGTGATAGAAGATATATGTGTATGCTGATTGCAACGAGCCTCTATGTATTGTTGATTGCTTTAAAGACTATCATAAAAAAATGGCCTACTAATGTCTTTTTTTGACAGAAAAAATGTAATTTCATTGTAAAGAAAAATAAAAATCATAATTAAACATGTGTAAAAGTTTCGATTTTCGTAACAAAAACCGGGACTCAACGGGTTAATCGCCAGCATATATCTAAAGCGTAAAAAATGTTCATAAAAGCATAGTTTGAACAAGAGTTTAACGTTTAAGACACTTATTTACCATTATCAGAAGTATCATTTGATAGGAATCAAAAAAGTATGTTTTGGAAATTATTTTGAATCAGATTCTATGCACACCTAATTTTATTAATATATTTTTTTATTTATTTTACAATATAGTGGAGTGTAGGTGGGTGTGAATGAAGAGAAGATCCATCCACATCTACACCCACGTCCTCACAAAAGCATGGATGTTTATCGAATGATGACATTTATTAGCGTCAAAGATATTGCGAATAGCGCCGCTAACTTTAGTATTAGCTGAATACACTGTGCCTTCGTGTCTATGTTTTCTTTTATTTTCCATGTTTTCTTGCTTTCAGTTTTCTTTCGTTGTAGTTTTGACTCATGACCATCTCCGAAAAGGCACATTATGATTTTCCAGCCTCTATATTTTCTTTTTTCCTTTCTTTTTCGTTTTCTACCGATCATTTGTTATTATCCAGTTTTGTCCCACGTCGTACTTTCCTTTTCTCCTTCTCTTTGCGTTTCCATTCTCTTTTCTTTTTTTTCTTTGCTTTTTTCTTTCTTCTCTTCTCGTTTTGTCCTTGTGAAACCTCCGTTGTTGCATACTCATTCATCGATTACGTTTTCTTGTTTTTCTTTGCTCTTTCCTAATATAACCAATATCATTTTTATTCCTCTTTCCATCGATTCACGGTCGATACAAGGAAGGTAAGCAGTTTTCTTTGTGTGTGTTTCTTCTCTTCCTTGCAGATTAGGAGTTACTAGAGAATGAATTTTTCGGTCTACGTTTCTTTTGTGGATAGATATTTTAGGATTAATTTTCACAGATCCAAGAAGACATCTGACAACATGATCGATTGTCCCATTTTTCTCGTGTATTTTTCCATACATTTAGTTAGCTGAGTAAGAGCGAAATCGATGTTCTATGTCCAACTTACTAGTGCAAAAAATTGTCAATACAAATCTGTCGTAACAAAAATCGTTTGATTCGATACGGATGTATAAACTGTTTATTTTTATGCGTGTCTTTCGTAGAGCTGAATTAGATTGGAAAATAAAGAATAGAAAGAATTTGTTTAACTTGCTTAACTTGTAAAAACCTGGTTTTTTTTGAAATTATCAGTTAAAAACTGACACATCGAGCTTTATTCTGTAATTGGTCTTTCAAAAAACACTAACGAAAAACGAAGATACAACTTTGTTAGAAAAAATTATCAGCAAACTGAACAGCACATTTTGAGAAATGACAGTTTTAACGTGTCTTTCCAACTGCACCTGAATAAGAGAAAGTTTGGTCAATATCCATAGACACTTGAAGATAGTGTTTGTTGAACTGTGTTGCGTACTGTGATGAATAAAATAAACTCTATTCATGTCCATGTAAGAAGATTTCATCGGATTTCAGAAAACGTGCGCACTACTTAGAATATCTTAGGTCCAGATTCGAGTTTTTAGGGTTGATCCGCTCAAAAAAATATTCCAGCACTATTTGAATGTGAGTGTGAATAAAGAGAAGACCCACACTCACACGCACAGCATTCACACCAAAACTTACACCCCATACACTCTACAGCAAAGGTAATTATGTATTACTGCTGTATTAGTGAATGATTCTATTTATCAACATGTCAACACTGATGTGAAAAGAACTCCTGATGAGTGAGAGGAAAGTTAGTATTCTTGGTTTGAAATCTGATGATATTGCTTAAACAAGGGATGTATTCATTATTAAAGATTGAACATTCACCGTAATATATACTGAGCGGTTCTGTAGCAGATGAAAGACAGAAAAAAAAATATTATGTTGAGATATGCCTATGCTGAAGAATGCTTCTAGATGCGCATTTATTCATTGTTTTCCATGTGCATCAGTTTTTACTCTGTTGAGTATGATATGATAGTCACACAGTCTGAAATTATAGATGAACAATTTTCGTCCCCATTATTACCATGTATCTACAAGTTGCAAATGTATCCACCGAAAGAGAAACGTACAATGGAATCGAGTCAAGATTGAAGACAGGCGTAAATTATTCCATGTGCACCTAGTGGCTGTAGTTTGGTTGCTTGATTTTTTTTTCTCTTCTGTTCTGTGTCGACATTCAGATAAAGGCAATAAAAATCGGTGTAATACGATGAAAACGAAAACGTTTTCATCGTATTACCTGCTTTTTTTTCGTCCACTTCTCCTTGTTGCTCTACTAGGTTGATCATATAGAAGGCCTTCTTTTTTTCCTTCTAGTCTACCAACATACATCATTTTCGACTAAAGCAATAATCGATGGCAGTATCACAAACATCCGACGACGAATATCTCCAGCAAGAATTTGATAAAATTGACAAAGGTTTGTTTTAGTTCCTTTGCCTCCAAAGTGTATTGATTACTTGCAGTGATTTTTCAAAAAATGCCTAATTTTTTATCATTTATTTGAATAAGTTTGTTAAATGATGACACTCTGTGTATTTAGATAAGATGGGTAAAATATCCACCACCGAATTTCGAAATTCGGTCTTTGCTGATGAGTTTCTTCAAAAGTTTCGTAGTACAACAATTGACAATTATATTGCCGAATTGAGTGATAATACAGGATGGATTACATTTGAACAATTCAAAAAGTTTATGCAAGCCGAAACGCATACATACAAGAATCCTCTCGTTATTATAGAACTCAAACAAGCATTCAACGAGGTCGATACTAATAAGGATGGTCTTATATCACCACAGGAAGCGCGTCAAGGTATTACTTTAGCTGGTGAACGCATACGTGGATGTAGTTTTGGCCATATTATCCAAATGTTTGATGATAATCACGACGGACAAATGTCACTTGAAGAGTTTTTAAATAATGTTGCGAAATTAGTTCACGAATAAATATAAAAAAAAGACGCTGGCATATAGTTATCTGCTATGCTTACCATTCTGATAAAGAAATCTTTTTAGATGTTACGAAACTTTTCTGATCAGTTTCAAACGTCCAATGTAACCATATGGCGATGTAATTGATCGAATTAACTTTTGGGTGTGGGTGCAAATTTTCTTTTCGTCCACCCACACACCCTGTTGAATCAGCTATGTTTGATTAGTTAAATGAATAAAATAAACAATGTATGTCTTAGAGAGATAATATTACATACGAACGAATATTTATCAAAAACAAGATAAAATAAGTTAGTAGGTCAGAAAAAGCAGAAGGAGCAAGAGCTATCTCTTATTTAAATATCCACCACAATGATTCACAGTTAAACAAACAATCGAACTTGGTCAAGGATAAAATATTTGCTGAAATGTCTTTCACGATATTGATTTTTGTTATTTTTTACATTCGCTCATTTGTTTCGATACTTAACCTTTCGCAATTCTACTTTTCGCTGAATGGACACCATATACTTATTAATTAATCAAGACCAACCGCAAGAATATGACCAGTAATACATGTGGGATTAGATGATGGAAGACGAAATAAACATGATGCAATACTACCTAATTACTTATGATTATATCTCAAAAAAAAATAGAATTTGATTCGATTTTGTTAAAAATGATCTTACAAATCGGTATATTGTCTAAGAGTTACATCAATTGAAATGCCATCATCATATCAACATTTTACTTCATGCCATTGATCACAACAAGACATTTTTGTTTACTGTTGATTTCATATTTTCTGCAAATATAGTTTGGATAAAAACGTACAGCATCTCATGAGTGTAAAATAGACAAATGGATATTAGAGGAAGTGATACAATTCAAAGAAAAATGTTTGTTTTAGAAAAGTAAAGAATACAAAAATTAAAAATATCATTTATTTTTCTTTCTCTCGTGTGTTCCATATCAGCTGGTGATACTGATTTAAACTTGACAACAAGGTTATTTCACGAGTCAATGGTAAGTTCGATCGACAAAGAGTAAAACAAAACTGATGATGATAAACTCTATTGATGTCATCAATCATCTTAGAAAACCATTTTTTATTAATTTCTTTATTTCATTGGACAGATCTAAACGGGTTTCAACAATTTATTTGATTCATTAGATCGAAAAAAGATAAATGCAATATTGTTTTTATGATTGCATTCTGTTTGTTTTCTATTATTTGAATTTACCAGCTACTTACAATTATATTAAAACCATTTGACATTTGTCTATTACAAGTAAAGTAGCTCAATATAAGTATTTAAAGAATCAATAGAATTTTTTTCTTGCAATGAAATTATTCTGAATGACTACGATAAGAATCTTTTAATAAACAGAAGTAACTTATTCTAGAATGAGAAACGTCTATTTTCATATCATTTAACTACTGTAACCGAAACCCGTTATAGAGCCCCATTTTTCTTATTACTATTCTACTAGTGTTCTGCGCAAATATCAATGTATCAAGAACGAGCAATACTCGTCTTTATTTTCTCGCAGGACAATTATACATCAGATACGAGCTAAAAATAATTCCTTGCTATTTCTATAGCAAAATAATGAAAAAAACGACAAACATGATGATAATGCAGAACAACATATGTCGATATATATGTACAAGAAAAAACATCGAAAAAATACAATACTATTGGTACGTTTTCCATCCCAAGTTAGCAAAGGACGGATAAAAAGGCCAGTCGTTTTTCTAGTCATGACGGAATGTCTTGTCGAGTCGTGTTCTCAAAAGGCTTAACACATGGTTGGTCTGAAATCATTATCAGTCTACAGAACACGTCTTGACTACTCGACTGATGGACATCATTCTGTTTGTTATGTGGATGTGGATGTGAGTTTTGGTCTTCTTTTCACCGGCACCGCCACTAGCACTCACACCTGCACCTAGTGCTAAGCCTTAACATCCTATTGGAAGAAAAAAACTTTTCAAAGGACTCGTTAGTTTCTTCTTCTTTTTTTCAAAATCAAGTAAAGAATTAGGACGGCTGGTTTGAAAGCAGTTTAATTAAAATGCAGAAGTCGCTGTTCTAACCTTTGAAGATTAAGATAGGCATAAGAAGATCAACACCATGAACTATTTTAAGATCAAAAAAAAATATACAGTATTGGTTAAATCATACCTAAAAAGTAAAGTGCCATCCCGTACCAAGCATCTGGAAATCAGACAGAAAGATGTCTTTAATGCTAAAAAAAGAGATTGTATCGATAATAATCAAATGAAAGAAAAAGATTATCGAATGGATCTATCTTGTATGCAATCAGGAGAAATTAAGTCTATTTCATGAAGAAGTGCGTTGTTTCTTGATGAAGAAAGATGATCGAAGATAATCGTTGTCAAAGAAGTACATAAATTTATGCAATTTTTGAGAATGCAACACTGAATGCCAATTATAGAAAATCTAACAGATCTGACAATGTAAAGAGTCTGTTCTGTCTTTTGGATGAATAAATAAGGTTATGTGAGCGTTTCTTTCTTTCTACCATTGTTCTGACGCTATGATGAACAAGTTTTCATAAAACGTTTTCTTGGGTGTGGAGCTCACATATAAATGCTTATGTGTTCCCCTTTTTGATATGGTAAGGTGCATTCTTCACTTTTTCTTTTGCTTTGTATGAATCATATATTTTTTCTCTGTTAGTTTTCAGTTAGTTCTTCTCTCTCAATAACATTCTAGTGAATTGCTTCTTCTTGCGTATTTATTTTTAGAATAATTTTGTTAAAACTTTGAATGAGACTGATATTGTAAGCACCTTTATCATAAAAATATTTTGCAACCAGAATCAAATCAAGTATTGAGAAAAATATTTATAATTTACCATGTAATTATCTGAATCAGATATGGCTTAAATCTCCATAGTCAACAATCTTGACACTGATAACGACAAACATGAAGTTCTTATCACCTTCTAGTACAATTTTTTGATTTACGATTTATTAGCGGTCCTACAATTCTAAATCCACCTAGCGATACCTAAAACAGAAAATGAATGGACGTTTCTTTCGACTATTGAGTTTATAAAGAAATTGAGTGCTAGCTATAGTTGGAGAGTGTTTGTAGTAAACTATTTTGAAGCATTGCAGTCTGTTGATCTATTCGCTATCGACTGTAATAATAATCACAACAAATTATCATATGAGACGCAATGAAAAAACGGATCATTAGTAATAGAAAAGCAAATAAAGCCGTGCTTGTTGATATTGATTGACACAGTGCAGTTTGGAATGACTATAACTATAAATAACATGATTATCACTACTTGAGACTTAAGCGTCAGTGTAGGAACAAATATCAAGTATAGCTCTACGCTGTTGTTTTTCTGCTGATACGAAACAAGCAATTCATATGTATTAAGATTTTAGGAGCTACTCAGTATTTACTGATATGCCCTAGAAAAATCCATCCATAATATGTAGATATAGTGTTCTAATCAAAATATTTTGAACTGGACGTTCTGAAGCTACATTTCTGAAATCTTTAGCCCATCCATCGTGACATTCATGCCTAAAGCATTACATGACAAAAATTGACAATGAAATCAATAAAAAAACCATTGTTATCCTTGGCTTTTGCATAAATATCACTAGATACAACATGAAGAGTGAGCGTCTGTTTCTCATTCGAGGTTACAAGAATTAGAAACACCAAGGAATCATTTCTAGATAAACGATGTATAGTTATTTTTTTAAAAAGTCTGTTTTTTTTGTAAAAACTAAAAATCAACTCGCTATGACAATCGTCAGTGAGATTATATATTATCTCAGTACGGTTGAAGTTTTTCTGATGCAATGAGAATGCTTGAACTGAATGATAATATTGCATCGTAATCATTTATATACATCCACAGCGAGTATTTTCAAATACTCTATCAAGTCCATAACGTCGTAAACGATCATCGTTCATAATAATAATCCATCTCAAAATTTGTCTTGGATCTTTTACGCAGAATTCATCTCGATCCTCTTCTCGATGGTAATAATACACAGTGTCAAAATCTTGATGCCATGCATCCGAGTTACTAACATTGTTAAGCTCATCAGAAGTTATAGGCAGTACATTGCCCATTTCAATTTCGGCGCAAATCAATGCTCCTTTGTAATAAATTAAATACATTGTTAAAAAATAAAGCAAAATGACTCTTCCTACCTTGATGACGAGCTTTTCGCTCTGTGCCTTTGAATGAACGAGCAAAGTAGACACCGAAACCTAATAATTGAGGAGGATGAGTACTAGGTCTAAAACCTTCTTGAGCGATTCCTACAGCAAATTGAGGACTTGTTCGATGAAATCCAAAGTATGTCCGATGGTTGTTTCTCTGATATCGAGCCTGAGGCATGGAGTCATAAGCATGAAAAATAACGATATGTTCAAGAAAAAGTATCGGACAATTTCCAACTCCACTATAAGAACACAGCCGATTACCAATTTCGTTCGGATTTCGATTTTCACCCAGTAGAGGGTAAGGTAGAAAACGTTTATGACTAGGATGAAATCTTTGTCGACAACAACAGCAACGACATTGTTTATACGCTCCATCTGGCCGATAATACCACCACATTCTGTACTGGTAATAGTCGATCATGATCGTTAATAACATAAATCCGATCGAAACCGTACTAAACATCGCCATATATCCGCGATTGTGGCCTAGCTTCTTATCTGTTTCATATAAAATAATTGCAATGATGCGTAGCACAATAAAAATGAACACGACACACAAGCGAACTTGAAAACGTAGTTGAGGTCGTGACCTGTAGCAGGGAAAATTACATGTAAGTGTTACTAATCTCATGTTTGCTGCATTGAATGACCAACATTGATTATCTCTGTCAGTCTCTTCATATCTACGAGCCACGATGATACATCCAATGAACCAAAACAAGAGTAGCATCGATACATATATGATGAGAAGAGTAGGAATAATAGATGCAATGCAGTCTATGATGAATGCCGCCATCACTTGTCCACTCCAAATAAATGAAGGCGCCGATGTAACGTTATTGAACGAAGAATTCGAAATTCCTGATATGACGAATAGTGTAACACGAAATCCTAATAGCACTGCTTCACCCATACTGAGAAGGATAACGAAGCACGGCAATGATTTATATCCATTAGGTGAACACATTTGTCTATAAATAAATAAAATTCGTACTTTTTGCTAGCATAGAGAACATTTTTTCTTACCTCTCTTCACAAGTTACAACGGTTGATATAGTAATGCTTTTCTCTCTTTGATTTCTTTACTAGTGTTGAATTGCCCAATGATGAAAGTTGCTAATAGTACAGTGAAATTAGTATCATCTGAATAAACTTATCAAAATTAGATCTAACAATAAGTTACATAGTAAAGAATAAGGTTACGTACGATAAGAGACTATTGCAGGTATACGGCTTGTGTAAAAATCACCATATTTTTCTAAATCTTCATTTTTTCTAATTCATCTTAAGAATCATATAGTACATACTTATCAGTAAAGCGTGAAAGTCTCAAATTCGTGCACACTACCACAGTACTCTATTGTCGCTTAAGTGAAATTGACACATTGGAAGTTGATTTTAGAACGTTTTTCTTTAGAAACAATCACTAAATATCACTCAGACTTCAGTTGTCAACATTCAAACAATGAAAAAATTTCACTTTTGGATTTATATTAATTTCCGTTGAGACGACATAGATCAACGTGTTCTGTACGCTTTTCTTCTCAATTGAAATGGATTAGTCTCAATTGAGGGCAAAATTTTCTATGACCTGGATTTTCTGTTATCATTGAGATGTGATCTCTATTTGAATGTTACTTTTATGAAAACAACTTCGTATTTGATGAAAAGATTTCAAAAGGTACAAGTATGGTGTAGAATACTCGTAATATTACGGCAATCTAACTTAACTTTTAATGATTAAACAACTGATTAGTACTGAGAGCATTGAAAACGCAGCTACAAGATCTAAATAGAACTACTTTAGTACTTTTGTGTCATCGTGCATATTGAATTACTTACAACGCAACGTACGCTTCTTCTAGGGATCACAGATAGTTCCTAATTTAACACACAGTGAACTAACTATTGGCAATATTGAAATAAAGTTTTATATTCTATTCAAAATTATTTGAATCTATTAGAGTACGAAAACCTGAAAAGCTATCTTTGGGTCTATAAACTGACAGAGAATAGAGTGTGTCAAAGACTCGACTGAAAACTGTATTAAACATACAATCTCAGCAGTTACTACAATTCATCAACTATATCTATTAGATTCGTCATAGGAATATCTTTACAACAAAAAAAAACGTTGTTATTTGTGTTTTCTTTAAATGGTAAATCCCATGTTTGGGCATAATTGTCATAAAATTCGCTCTGAAATACTTAAAAATACGTTGATTTCAGCCGAAGAAATTAAAATAAAAATTATATTTTTCGCTAATCAGAAATTATACTGGCAATGAAGATAACTACTTCTACTGTTACTACTTATGGCATACTAAACGAGAACAAGTTATACATCGATCAATACTTAAAACTCTAGCTTATTTTTTAAGCAAAAACAATTCGATAGCTGTTCAACTTTTAAACCCACGTAATGAATTTTCTAACTATGAAATCATACATAAAGCGTGATAATACGCATATATTACCTATTTTTGAAACTTAATGTTTAATGAGTGCAGAAGTATATAGCGAAGAAAGAAAATGCTTCCTAATTTCTATCTGCCTTATAGATCTTGGCCAACAAGTCTGTCATGGTCTCTATCGGCCTAGTAGGTTTTTCAGCATTCTGGACCTCTTCCCTGATGAATATGTTTATATTTCACTATACCAGTTAGATTTTTTTTAATTTTTGCGCTTCCGCCTTGCAATACAGTCATTTTCATCTTTCCCGTTGTGCAAATGTGAAAGTAAACGAAAACATATTCAATCAGCAGTATTTAATTCTTTTTGGCTGAAACACTTGACGTCGAAAATACAGTAACATTTGATCTTTAGAATTCTTAATATATATATAGATGTGGGCGGTGTTCGACTTTTTACGCAGAAGCTATCTTGTAAAAAAAGTGTGTGCATAGTTTTTCTGAGGCTTGGTTCATATTGTTTGTCATCATAGAACATGTCTTTCAACGTAAAACGGACTACTAATCAAGAAATAAACTATGTGCAATCAGAAGTCAACTATTAATTTCTCTTGAACTTTTATATTTAACAAAAGGTAGAATCGTGAATATCCAAGAGAGAAAAATAAACTCATCGAATGAGGTGATGTTTACGAAAACTGTTTATGACATTATAAGCTATCAGTGGTTGCTCAATAGAATGTCGAGTAAAACAAGTCAATCTTTTTTATATGTATGCATTGCGAAAAGAAATATTTTGATAAAATTCATCATTCACTAACAGAAAGGAAGAGAAAAAAAAACATTGATCAATGCTGTACATGAAAGCGGTGTTCTGAGTATGAATGTCATGCCTGACTTTTAATAGAGTAGTTTTTTCATAAAATAAAACTTATACAAATGCATTTTTCTTCTATTTCTTTCGATTCAACCTCTATACATAGTAGTATTCCAGAGAAATTTGCAATTCATTCTGCTTTTCGAGGTGCGATGGAAGCACAAGAAAATAATTGAAAAAGATACTGTGATGTTGACAGGAAATCTATTTAGTATTTAAAACTCTGACTTATCTCAAAATACACTTTTCAATAGTTAATTTCATCAAAGGTTTTGATAAACTAGTACGATACAATTACAAGATTAAAATCGATTGAACAGATTTTATAACTTAAACTTTGATGTTTTGTATAGAATACTTTGAAAAAGTGCTATGTTGAAAGCCTACAATTCCTAGAAAATCAAATTCTTTAGGTATCACTTAATCATGATTTCTTTGAAATATTCGATTGCTGACTTAGTAACTATTCTATGAAACTGACTCGCTCAATTTGTTAATATATCCATATATAGTAATTTCAATACTCCTAACCTGTTTCATTTCTTAAAAACACTCTTTTTACTAGAAAATTTTCTCCTATTATGTCGAACTCCTGGTGTCAAATTTTCGATTAAAAATAAGTTGGCATATACCTGTTCTTTCAGTTTTAAACCTTTCTGATATCTGCAACATGTGATTTTGTTCGTAGATGAACTTACTGCAAACGTTCTTATAGAAAATTCGAAATAAAGTTATTGTTGCGTTTACTTTTTTTATATTGTTGTTCGTTGCTGCTACACGATCATTTTATAAAGGTATGTGTTCTAGAAACAATATTCTCATGTATTTACTGTTTCTTTTTATTTCAGAAGTCATACAGAAGCCTATGTAAATATCAACGTTGAATTCTAGTTAAACTTGTTCTAATGCAAATATGAGTAATATGGCTTCTTGAGCAAAAAAGGAAGAGACATTGCATAGTGTAGTCAGATGAAATAGAATAACATGAATTGTTTGTTATTGCTCTGTCTCTTCAATTGTGTTATTTTGTGCATGTTACTTTCTTCATTGACATCTAAAAACTTCACAAAAAAAAGTGTAGCCAACATTAGACCAAGTTTTTTTTCATATATTTCTATTGACTATTGTTCATATCTAGACGTATAATAAAGCTTGATGGTGATTATTTACACACGTTGTTTGAGAAAAAAACTATTTAAATAAAACCATATAGTCAAGCGAAACACTCGCTGAAGTAATTAGATTAGAACTTGAACTATACCTGTAAGAATTCTATTCTTACTCAAAATATGACTATTGCTTTGTTTCTTATATTGTTTTTAGACAAAGATGAACTTGGAGAATAAATTTTATTTTAGACTTTTAAATATTGTCAATATCAAACATAATTTACAAGTCTCATGTTTACAATGAGAATAGTGCTCATTAAACTTTACCTTGGTTTCTAACTGACTAGGATTAGTCTTCTGCTCTTTTACATGAGCTTTGTTCAAATTTGTTTTTTTCATTTCAGAAAAACGTGTTTAAACAAATGTCACTCAACTTTCTTGGCTGTCTAGATATTTATTAATTTCGACGATAAATTGTTTGTTTTTCAAATCTTAGCATTAGTAAAAAAAAGAAAGGATGCTGCTACCACTTAATCATCGTCTGCTAGATTACTCCAGTATATGTTCGTAAAAGTTGAAAAGTCTATATATGTGTATTTACTGCATTAAGTATGACGCCAATACAACTAAGAATTTCATAAAACAACAAAACCCATTAGAAAGCACTAAGCCAAATGACACAACATTTTATGTTCTTCTGCTATCTTGGTTTTTCACGATGGGCTTTATCTCATAATTCTGCATTAGGTGTTGTATTGACCAGCAGGATTATTTGCATATAAAAAAAACAATGATAAGCCATACATACTTGATAATCGGATATAGATATTTAAATCAAAAAAATTTTAAACTGAATACTTCCACTAATCAGATAAAGGATTTCAAACCAATGGAAGAATAATTGTAGACACAATATAAAATGTTGTTATTGATACTATTTCCCTCAACTATAGTTACTTTGATAATTTAGTCAGAAATGAACATGAGAACATGAATGAATTCTTTGATATCTTGCGAAGATATAGTCTTATTGAGACAGTAGAGTTTAAACATTGTATAAATCTTTAAAACTATAAGAAAAAAACCATCGCAGATATTCAATCAGAAGATCATCATAAAAATCACAATATTGTTTAAAAATTGGTTAATATTTAGTTTTACATAGAAGTAAAACTTTGAATAAACAACAAATTTGATGAACAATCTATCAATGGTTGCATTTGCTTTGATGACGTAGTATATATCATTCAAAAGTACTTTAATTACTTTATAATTCTCTTCGTAATGATACAATACATATTGCTGAGTCTGTAATATTACAACAAAAATGTTAACTTCCAGACTGATCAACATTTAGATAAATAATCTAATTTCGAATGAAAACTGAAGTTTGTTTTCAGAGTGAATTAAGTCGTTTTCGAAACCAATCCTACCCCAGCCGAAGGTATATTGTAATTTGGAGGGTGTGGGTGTGTATTTGAGAAGAGAACCTCCGTCCACGTCACATTGACACCCTTGTTCAATACAATTAAATAATGTATGCATTTATTCAACGAGCATATCTTTAATTTCTTTTTCTTTTGTTTTCAAGTGCCATTTGGTTTCTAGATAATGAATACAAGAAGCTCTTAAAAGATATGGGCCATGATGTATCATTAGTCTGTGTACAGAATCTCAATTCTTCTGATGGTTTAAAAAATAAAGAAAATAATTGTTCTGCTACTGTTAAAAAAGAAGAGATTTTTAACGAAAAAATTTTTATACAAGAAGAAACAAATTCTCCTGATTCAAGTTATGAACCAAGTGAGCTAGAAAAAACTTTATTTCAAAAAGCTGACGAAAGCGTGTGGGTGGGCATGGTCGAGTCATCAACAACCGGTCAAGAAAAGTGAGCTCCAAACTGCGTAAACTCCAAATTTGGAGCTCACTTACCCATCCACATTTTACTCATTGACCTCATCTGACGTCATAAAGTTCAGGGTCAAAAAAGTGAGCTCCGAACTATGTAAATTTCAAATTAGGAGCTCACCAAAGAAACCAACTGTGATGCTAGAGGCATCGTCTGCGATGCTAGAGGCATCACCTGGAATGCTAGTAGCATCACCTGGGATACCAGGGATATATCAGGTGATGCTACTAGCATCCCAGGTGATGTCTCTAGCATCCCAGGTGATGTTACTAGCATCTCAGGTGATGCTAATAGCATCCCAGGTGATGCCCATAGCATGCCAGGTGATACCCCTAGCATGCCAGGTGATGCCTCTAGCAACTCAGGTGATGCCTCTAGCATCCCAGGTGATGCTACTTGCATCCCATGCTATGTATCTATTGAACATCAGATATAACTCGACCTAGTTTCTCAGTCAAATAGGGCCGTACAGCTTTAAACCGAAAAACATGGACTCTATTTTATGGTAAAACGTGGATGGGAAAGTGAGCTCCAAATTTGGAGTTTACATGTGGAGCTCACCTTTCTTGACCTCAACAACCCATACCCCCACCCGCACCCTTCTGATGCAGCAATTTCATGAAACTAGATTAACTCTTTGAAGACGGGAAGCCTATATATAGGCAACGGCTCTCTACAACTTGTAACGCACTTGAATATGTCTCTCATTATATAGTGATGATCTACATTTAGTGCAGACTATGGACTCTTCACCATCGATGTGATGCTACACCACCATATGTATTGTATCCTGATACACCTTCTTTCTGGCAGAGGTATTATTTCGAAGTTTCGAGAACGCGATCTTTTTGAAAAGTAATACCGTCCTCAAAGGTTTAAAAGAATAAATTTTTTTTTTTAATTAAATAAAAAAAACTACATAAAGTATTTTGATTAGTAAGGTGTGATAGAAATTTGATTATTTTTAAATAATTTTTTGATCATTGTCTATATATATTCGTCGGAATGATGATGTAGGACGTTTAATAATTCATTCACTAATTTGTGGAAATTTACTATTAATAACAGAAACTAATGCAGCATAAACAGATGTATAAAATGGTGAAACTATTTGTGATTGAATGATAGCACGAGCAAGTAAACCATGACTATGAACAATATTATCTTGAAATATTTCACCAACCATTATTGATAAATTTGATGTCTTAACTTTGTTTCAATGATCATTAATAGTTTTTTCTCAAAGCCTTCCAGGCTAAACGTTGATATTCAACTGTTGATTTATTCGTTGATATGCACTAAAATAAAATAGAAAAATATAGTTGAATGATTTAAGCAAATGATACTTATAAAAGACAAAATTTAGCTGGTGACATATATGATCCAATAGTATGTGATGGTTCTGCAGGTGTTGATTGAATTGGAAGAGAATTTGACGTTTGTTTTAATTGTATATCATTTGTCTTTCGTTATTATTTGTCATCATCTTTACTATGTGATTCTGATGATAATGATTCAGATAAACTTCGACGAATCCATTTAACAATTTTTCCATATTGTGGTAAATTAAATGTTGAACGATGACTAGATGAACATGAAGGATCGGATTCACCGATTATCTTTGATTTCGACATTTTTATTGAATGATATTCGATTTAAGATTTGAATGTGTAATCTTGTTGTTTTGTAATGTTTTATTATATGCAAAGCCAATCAGGAGATGCTCTGATTGACCAATTGTAATACGTGCCGTTACCTATCTATAATATAGTTTATTCAAAGAAGACGATCAATACATTACTTCGAAATCGAAGTGTCTCTGTGGGTATTTTATTCTCAGACATTCACACCCCCACTCGAGACCCAAGATTTCGAGTGTCTACATATTTTTTCGTTTGACAACATATTTCAACTGAAAATAGAACTTCTTAAACTCTGAATAATAACATCAAGCAGTATTCTATAAATCTTCATCAATGACATAAGATTATGCCTCTAACAAAATTTTTATGTTTATCTTCTAACTCATCCTGGTAGCAGGTGTCGAACAGTAACTGTTGAATCTGATAAACGAAAAGTTTGCATGAAAAAATTAATTGCCGTCTGTTCTGACTTTTTTTCACGTTGATGTGGTCTCTTGTTTATCATGTACTATAAATCGATATTTATTGGTCATATATAAACTATTACTATTCTTTGCTTATACTTAATCGATAATGTATACCTTGGCTTATTCTCTCATTGTATTACTTCAAGTATTGTGAGTATTATACGTAATTACAAGCCTAAATTTTGTTTGTACATGCAACTTGATTTACCATACCATTCATATGATGCACAGGCATGGTTCTATGTTCTATGATACTCTGGTACCAATTTTCTATGCTGTAATTTTGCTTGTATTTAAATGATCATGAAAATAATGCATGCTGAAATTATAACGAAGAGCAGTTTGAAGATGATTAAACATGTTTATTTTGTTGATAAACGATGTATATCGAAGAGTACCATCAGAGCAATAGTACAATGAACCAATGCGTGAATAATGATTTGACACTCGATATAATTTATATACATATTATAACTCGTTAAATAAATCAACTTAATACTTTAATGAATGACATGAAAGATGAAGAATCTAAATGATAACGCGAGCAAATCTATTCTTTGTACATATTATGATCTTGCATCAGTTATATTAATTTGAATTGTAACTTGGGTTTTTTTATTTATTATGAATTCTCTTCTAGCAATTCGTGTATCATCTTTGTTTTTTATGCTTCGTTCTGGCGACGTGTTTGTTATATGCTATATTAATATAAGCTATTAAATAATCAAACTCATGTAGTGTTTGTGCTCATGTAACAGCAGTTTATGAGTACTTATTATAGTAATACAATAAATCTTGATGTGAACATTTATTCAACTCTGACTTATAGTTCATTGGATAATAGACAAACAGACGGTTAAAACTCTCATCGAGTTACGATAGGGGTGTGGATGTAAGTTGTGTATTAACTATGCCACACCCACACCCAATATTCTCAGTGTGAGAGAAGCGCCGCTAGAAAATTTGTCGTAAAAGTCGCTTCATGCGACATCAAAAGCAAATAAACAGCTTTTGATTGTTCAAAGAAAATAACAGCAAATATGACCAATATACTATGTGAAAAAGCCATGCTCTTTGTCGAACATTTTCTAGAGTATATCATCTCCGATCTTATGATGATTGATGTTCATGGGTCATTCTATTCTTCACCATGCCAGGTATATGCACTCGAATATAATTTTATTGGTCAGTATGAAACAATGCAAGCTGGTATCGACATTTTCTTGTCATACGTCAATCTAAAACCGACTAATTGGAATTCCAGTCGTTGTTTCTCGACCAGCCGAATAAAAAAAACAATACCAATGGATGTGTAATGACTTGCCCGATTGATTTATTTGCCGTTCAAAAGAAATCTATCGCCTTGATTTTAAAGCATTCGACTGCTAATTAGAAGACTATTTGAATGGTGGTTGAACACTATCGCACTGTAGATCCTTACACATATATCGTATGCACCAACACAGGCAAAGTCTCACGGATAATTAAAACGCAATAGTATAGTTTTTATAGCTGTTCTTGTTTTGTTACTCGATGTTCTTACTATTGTTTTTTACTCACAAAACATTCAATCAAAGTTTGTATGTAAATAAAGATCTAGATCTGATGGTTTTGATGGAGGAATAAGACACTAACGCTCACACCCACATCTATACCCTAGATTTTCAATTGAAAAGGCCGAAAATTGCTTTATATTAAATAATGTGAAAGGTAGTCAATTACTAACCACTTTTAGTCAGAGAGAAGTTTATCTTAATGTGTATGTACAATCTACTTTATTGTTGTGAGTGAGGGTTATATATATATACATCGGTTCGGAACAGAAGGAATGTACTAGAAAACCCCAGAGAGTACCAAAGAGAACATACAAGATTCACACAGAGCGAAAATACTGGAAGGTACTGGAAACGAAAACATATATCTATTCACGCATAACAACAGAGCGAAAGATGGAATACATATATACGATGATGACACAACAATGATAGAACGAAAGGATGATCCATGAGAGAGGACGCCACCTAACAATAAACAAGTGAAATTTTCTATTGCATAATTTGTATGTAATACTTAATTCTGTAAACTTAAACTCTTTCAAGATAAATCGGACACAAAGATGCTCAGATCAAGTAAAACATTGCTATGATAGCTTTTCATACAAATATTTACTGTAAGTAAATATGCAAAGAAAATTCTTAGGAAGACATATAATAAAATAAAAGGGTTAAAGAAAAGAAGAAAAATACAGCTTTCAACAGAATATTTTTTTTTATAAGCAACGTGCTTTTCTTCGTGCGAAGTCGTTTGAAAACAAGAAGAAAAAAAATGCTATCGTCAACTTCAACGCCATACGACATACTTGGAGCAAAAAAAACTGATAATAATTATAATTTACGTGTAGCATATCGTGCACGAATTCATGAATACAATCAAGATCGACTTAAAAACCCTAGAAGTCGTAATATTACAGCTGAAAAATTTCGACTTATTTGTCGTGCTTATGAAACATTATCTGATCATGATAAACGTAAAAAATATGATAATAGTGGTGAATGGATATCAAATTTAGCTTTGCAAAAATATACATTACAACAATTAGCTGCTGAGCCTGAACTTTTACAAGAATTAAAAAATCGTCTAAAAGATGTTACATTAAAAATGATAAATTCAAAAGATTCACAAACAAGACAAACACCACTCTATTGCGCAGCACGTGTTTGCAATCTAGAAGCTGTCTACTATTTAACAGAACAAGGAGCTGAACCTGATTTAGCACAGCGAATAGGAAGTTCAGCTTTACATGTTAGTGCTTTTTACGGACATCCAGAAATAGTTCGTTGTTTATTGGAGAGTGGAGCCGATTATCGAATAAAAAATGATTGCGAAAATACAGCAGAAGATGAATCTTATGATAATGAGGTAAAACAAACGTTTGCCAATTTGAAAATGACACCTTTTGTACAAACAGCTGCAAATCAACTTGATTGGTTAAAAAATAATATTGATAAAATCAAGCATATTGATGAACAATATTATATACAACGACAAACATTACTTCATTGTGCTAGTAAAAAAGGTTATATAGATGTTGTTCGTTGGTTAGTCGAAAAATGTTCAGCCGATTTAGATATCGTTGATATTAATTTAAATTCAGCTTTGCACCTTGCTGCCTATGGTGGACATGATTCAATAGTAGAATATCTTATTAATCGAGGTGCTAATCCACTTTTATTAAATAAATGGTGTATGACAGCTGAAGAAGAAGGTTCTTTTCATGGGAAAAAGATTACGAACCTATTTGAATCGATGCGTACACGGGATATGTTTAGAATGGCTGCTGATGGTGTCGATTGGTGGTTTGAATATTATTTTCGTGATAAATCACCCGATACAGTTAATGATAATGGCGTAAGTTTACTGTATGTTGCATGCCGTTGTGGTAAAACATCAATTGCAAAATGGCTTTTAGAAAAAGGAGCTAATATCAATATAAAACTTTTAAAAGAACCAGGAAGTACGCCATTACATGGTGCTGTCTATCATGGACATATTTCAACAGTTGACTTATTATTATCACATGGAGCTGATATAAATATAAAAAATACCTATGATACAATTGCTTTTGATGATGCACAAACGGATGAGATGAAACGACATTTACAACAATATCGAACTAATTTGAAAGATAATAAATTACTTGATGTACATTTATATGGGGATGGTGCTAAATCTGGTACGCAACCATTAGCAAAATTACAAATACACTGTAATGCTAAATATAGCGATCTTATAGAAGCAATGCCTGCTTCAATGCGAGATCAGTTTCCAAATTTTTCTATAGCTCGACGCCCATTAAATTTTGAAGATGATAAGACAACAATTCTATCAGCTGTATGTCGTGCTCGATATGGAACATCAAAATTCGTTCAATTACCACTATGTATCACAGCACATGAAAGAGTACGTTATAAGAAAGCTGGTCATGTTCTTCGAGATGAACTTCCTGCTAGTGATATAAGTGAATTTCATCAAAAGTTTCAACCAAATTGTCCAAAATTAACAATGAAAATTTCTCGATTAGATAAAAGTCAAACATTTACTATTAAGAATTTATCGTTTACTTATCCGAATAATTGTGTTGATCAAGATGTTATAATTGATGTTGAATATATAATGTCGCCAGATATTGGTACAGTCAATTTGCCAGGATGCATTTGTCTTTTTCAAACAAGATATGTTAATAGATATAAATTAAAAAATATGCCAACCGTATTGTTTAGTGGTGAACCAAATGCTAAACTGTATAATTTAGCTCCTTTATCATCTTACTGGTTTTCTTATAGAACACGACATACACGTTTAATTTCGATAGGTGAAACCATACATGCTTTTATTCGTCATATTGATATTATTCCTTCTCTATTAACTCTTCCACCAGATATGTTTATTCAAGTTGTTGTCGGAAAATTATTTCAAACTCGTAATAAACCAATTTTTTGTCAATGTTTAAAAATTCGTGAACACAATAAAACTGTCTTTCCTCATATTGCTTATCATGGAACAAATATAAAAGCTATAGAATCAATTCTTATGGATGGACTTGTTATGCCGAGTACGGTAGTTTCCAGTGGATTACGTATTTGTCCACCAACTAATCATATTGCTCGCGGAACAAAAGCTTTTGGTGTTGACGATTTTTCAAATGGAATATTTATAACACCAAGTATACACTATTGTTCAGATCCGGCATATGCAATCACATTTACACATGATGATCAACGTCTTATACCTGTGTTGGAATGTACTGTTAAAAATAATTCATTCCAGAGTTTTCCAAGTACTGTAAAGACTTATGTTGCCCATGAAGGTGATGATATCAACGCAATTGAATGGCGTCTGACAAATACAGCAGATATTGAAATCATATCAGTACTTTTGATTCCTGTGATAACGTCAAAAACTGACACAGCGAAATCGAGAGCTAAGAAGCTCAGTGATAATCCAGATAGTGCTAAATAAAACAAATGAGCGAGAAATTTTCTATTTTTTAAAGTGATTTTCTATTTTTTTAACTTTGTACTTGATATTTTATTCTTTTCGGGGTGTGGGCATTGGTATGAGCGCGGAAGTGAATGTATAACTGAAATGTATATTGACACCGACACCCACTCTTAGATTATCATTGCAATCTGGTATCATTTCCAAGTAGAGATAGTACGACTTAGTGGGACTCGGAGAAAATCATCTAATACGAGTGGATAGGAGTGGAAGATGATCATCCCTTCGAAAACAACATATTTTACTTTAACGTAATTTATTATCTTTATAATGTTTTCTTACCCCGACAATAAGAATCAAAATGATATCCAAAAATAATCTCTCCTAGAAAAATGATCACAAACGGAGATTCAACATGATGCTTAGATAGCTTCAACTACGAAGTATAACATTCTGTCTGTTAAGAAAAAACCGATTTTGAATTCAGCGAGTTTCGATAGTAGTAAACGCATCACGATGCAACTTAATTGTGCTGGACACAGATTTGTGCCGTTTCTTGAGTAAAAGCAGAGGAAGCTTGATGTCATGCTTGTATGACTTTGATGAAGTTAATTCTACATTGACTGTCTAATTGGTATCGCCTCGTTTGACTATTGTAAGTGCCACCTGTAACTCACAGTCCTTCATTTCCTTTATTCACGCTTCAAGCAGTGCTTAGCAGTGACTGTTGCTGTGACGCTACATGAGGTAAAGCCGATGAAATTTACATCGCAGTTATCAATAAGGTGGTTGGTGTGAATGTAGAGGAAAAGAAGGATAATGTCTGTCCACACCTACATTCGAAGACACACTATTACAAAGAAACTTCTAATGCGTCGATTAGCATCCTCGGAATATTTTCTATGTAAGATAGAATCAAACTTATCATTAAATGAAACCAAGATCGCATGCAATATGTAGTCAATCTTACTGATTTAGTGTTACGCTCACTAGAATATCCATATGGAATGGAAGTCATTGATTCTCTTATTGACAGTTTTAAAGTTGACAATTGAGAACTCTCTCTCCTGATGGATGGATAGCTCATGCTAAGAATATGTATAAGACTGATCTAAAATGGAAAGTTGCTTAGCAATATCCCATTACTTCAAAAACATATCTTTGGAAATGCACTGCTGACTGCAAATACTTATTGGTGTATTCCAGCTGGGATGTAGAGTCAATCTCTAGTACTTTCTTATTCTACTTTTCTTATCTCCTATTGACCAATAAAAGTAAAATATAAGCAATAAATCGTCAGTCTTTTGAAATATGGGGAAATAGTGGCAAGTTTTTATCTGTCTTTGTTCTATGTCTTTGGACAAAAGAAAGTGGTCAGTCGTTTTTTTTTAGAATGTTGATGCTCAATTCTTCACACGATTAATACTGTTTTATTGCGAAGTTATTCAGATAACTAAAAGCAACAGAATATTCCTAAGATGATTAACAAATTTTCAAGGACTTTTTATTTATTTTTTATTCTGAAAAAATGATATAGTTATATAATTTTTAATAACGACTGGCATATTCTATTTTCAGAACTTCTCATTTCCATGTGACTTTTACACTAGCACATTGCACGGCACAATGTCCACGTGCAGCACTGTGACACCAGTTATGATCACAACCACCTTTATATTGAGTTGTAACGTAAGTTCTGCAGGTATTTTTGTCAACCAACAAAATTTCACTGTCTTTTTCGAATCATAACCGGCTAGTTTCTGCAAATGTCTGATTGAACAATTGCTAGTAAGATGGGTCAAAGTTTCGAAGATAATGGTGATTGTATTGTTGATTGATTTTGAATATCTTTGTCGTAAAATAAATTTGTTCATTAACAACAAAACCTGCAGAAATTATGTTACAATCCAATAATCGTAAAATACTTGACTATATTTTGGACATCCCAAGTCTGGTGCACAACACTCACATTGACAATTGACATTGTAACCGAAGACAACATAGACTAGCATTAATACCATGAAAGACAGAAATAGAATAATGAAGAGTTTAGATTGCATGATGATTTGATTTGAAATGATTGAAATAAAATTTTTATTGAATGAAATATATTCGAGTTGTTCTTATTACCAATAGTTGAAGCTTATATAGTAGAAATACAGAAGAACAAATGCGAAATTAAGATGTGTGAATTGGAGCAGGTGGCACTTTTTTCATTCATGATGAAGAAACCTTGAAAGTGATGTGCGCATCAAGAGAAATGACACTATAAAAATGACTACATATATTGTTTTCCATGCGCTGAGTTCTTGGTCATGACCAATGTTATGAAAATTGAGAAAACGTATGTGAAATATATATGCCCATCTCGATGTGGATGAACATAAGACGCTCTCCCACATCCCATAGCGACACTCTAATAAACTTGAGTAAGAAGAATTCATGTGTAAGCCAATCTTTACAAAAAAAATGTAAGAGATTTTCCTCATAATTAGATGAATATTCAACTTATTTTTCGAGTTCGACCAACACTTTTTTCTTTATTTATAGTTTGAAATGACGCGAGTAAAGAAAAAAGCTCTGCTTTAGCGTCCTGCTGTGGATAATTTAACTTCAAATATTTTTGTGTTTGATGAGTAAGCAACGAAATTTAGTATGTCTTTTGGTTTGAATAAAAGATCCCTTAATCTTATTCACCTATGGTTATGCAATAAGAATCACCGCAAGCATCACGAATACTAAGTATAATTCTTGATGAAACACATAGCGTGGCAACATCAGAAATTAATTCATGTTCAATAATAAACAAGCTTCAATCAAATGAGTATAAAAATTTAACTAATATGGAATTTCAACTATCTAGTAGGAACAATATCGGTCTGTTATATAAGAAAGGTGATATATTAATTCATGAAATGCATGCTGTAAAAATGAATGCTATCTTTATATACACGAGTCAGTTATTCTTTTAATCTTCCAGATATTTTATATTAGTGTTGAACTTTGTTGGAAGAAAAATGGTAGCCAAGTGATTGACCTAAAACTTCTGTTAATCAACTTGTTTTAAAATTATTAACTTCATTAGATGAAGCTAATAATGGTTTTTCATCACATGAAAAGATTGAAACAGCTGAGAGAACAACTAGAACATCTTTCTGAACTCTTAGAAGGCTACTCTAATGTTAACTAAGTTATATTATGAAATAGTTACAAATATTTGTCGTTTTTCGTGACACAGTCATACACCCTACTTTTGACATGTATAATTGATTTAGTTGTTGAATATATATGTCATCAAAAACCTCATCTCATATCAATCTACACTAGTTCGACATTCTTTATTACTGCTCTTATTCTTTCTATTGTTGGCGAACAGGACCATTTTCGCAAATCTCCGAAAGAAGTATATGATAAAGAGGATAATTATCTCATGTTAATGATTTGCTACAAAAATGCGACATACAAATAAGTTGATTTTGATAGTTTTTTTTTATTGAAGTTTTAAAAGATTTATGTTTGTCTCATGACAGTATCAAACGCTATTAGTTTATTCAAAGAGTGTGGGGGCGAATTCTTTAATAAAAGAGGCCATTCGTTTCGATTTACTTTTGGAAAAGGCGAATGTGAGCAGTTGGTTTTTTTTTCTTTTTTCCTAATTCTAACTGTTATCTCTATCAGAATGATTTATATATACAGCAATATTATTTTGATTTATAGTCAACATTTCGAATTACAACAGTTATTTCAAACTTACAAAAGTATAGATTGTTGAAAGTGATATATTGAAGAGACGGTTCATGGAAATATCAAACCTTCTTAAATGTGATCATACTTTCGAAAATGTTGATATCAATAGGTTTTATTTTATTGAAAACAATAAAACACCATCAGAAGCCTCTCAATCCGAATTTCTAGCTTTTTTTAACTTGCATCTGAAAACTTATGACGCAAACATTGAACAGGCCTAAAATTAAGCGTTGAAAAAACTTTTTTTTTCATTAGTCAGTGTTGGATCATCTTCTTCATCATATCTTCTGTGAATATGTTTGAGTAATATCTCATTTGAACGAGGTAATGTTACTCTACAAAACTATATATGTATACAATCATCGCTTGAGTGTTCATTATGGAAGGACAACAGATACAAATTCAAGGATTATAATTTAATTGATCAGTAAATTGAAACCGTTGTCTATGAATTCCTGTAATAGTTCCAATTGATAAGAAAAGAGAAAGAGATGAATCAACTAAGACTCAAACCGCTCTTCTAGTGCAATAATTTCATTTTTATTTTCTCTTTTCTCGCTTATTCTTTAGATATCTATTAAATGTTGTTTCAAATATTTTTTTATTTACGCAAATTAAATTTTTTATACTATTGTATTTAATAAGATTGAAACTTCTTTTTTTTTTTACTGATAAAATCTCTATATTCATCTGACCGAATTTGTATTTGTTACTAAGTTGTAATTTTTTACTACTATTTACACATATATAAGAAATTTATCATGTAGTCTATCTTACTGATGGATGGGATTAACGGTGAATGGTGTAGGTATTGGTGAAGGCTTTTTCACTTGTATCCTAAGCATTTCATATGTCTTTTCTAACTTTATGTCAACTGATTTCTGCACCTTTTAGAGCTAACATTTAGGTAGAAGGAACATATTCTTGAACAGTTGGTTCTTTGAAGAGAAAGTGAATTTTTTTAGAAATTTCATTCCATTTTTTTAAAAATAACTCTAGACTACTTATAGCTATTGTCTTCGAGTTTTTGTCATTTAAAAGCATAAACATGAAGCATCGAACTATATAAAATTCAAAGATTTTTAGGATTGATTTCACACGAATACATTTTTCCTTGCCAATTTTCCTGAGTTTTTATAGCAATTTGAGCCCAAATTATGTCGAGTTGTAGGCAGAAAAGCTTTTCTATTCTCAACAAAGTTTTTGTAATGTAAAAAATATCTCTTGTGAATGTTAGTTTAATTAAACTATAGATAGATCTTAGCATTTTATCAGGACGATAAGACTTTTCGGGCAATTATTTTGTATAATTTCAGTCCAGATTATTTTGAAAAACTTCTTCGAATCTTACTCAAAAGTTATTTTAACAGTGATGGCTAGTATTTTTTTTTTAAATCAGTTGATATAAATATGAATCACTCACACAAAGAACAGGTGGTAGTAGCAAGGTAAGATATATGCATTGTATTGATTAGTCACATTTAGATGAAAAATAGAAGCACCATGCACATGCATCAATAAACAACGCAAACGTCCTTTGAATAACATTATAACAAAGAGAAAAAAAAAGGTGCATTATATCATTGATGGAGCTATCATCAGACGACAAACTCTTCACTTATAAAGTATTAGTATGATACATCATTGGTAGAAGTAATACGAAAGTATTCGTACTTGGACTTTTAGTACTTATCAAGTAAAACTATTTCACTTGTACTTCAAAAAAATCTACGTATACTTTTACTTTTAGTTCGAGACGAATACTTTTGCACTTATACTTAAGTACAAAGAAAATGTACTTTATACTTTTACTTGCGATAGTAAACAATTTCTTTTTGTGTATTTGAAGCGTCTTTCTACTTCATCGACGCTTTGATACTTACTCATAATGCTAAAGCGATTATCGTAAGTTTCAATTCTTCACGATGTTCAAATCATAAGCTAATTCGTGTCTCTGGTTAAAATTTAATATTGGACCTTGTGTAAACTTTTCTTAGTGTCCTGGAGAATTATATTTAGTCAAGTTATATAGTCAAATAAATATCATGATTTGAAAATGTTCATCATATTTCGACAAAATACGAACGATGAAAACATGTGCATAAGTATATGATCGTTCAGCACCGCTTTCAAAGATCTGACGCTTATCAACTAGCTCCCAGTCACGGAAACTGAGCTGGTAGGTCAGGTCTTTCGAGCTGTGGACTGTTATGAACTCATTATTGTTGTGTTCCAAAAACAAAATATATTTGTTCTGTTTGGAAAATCCAACAGCAACGAACTCATACAAATTCCAACTCTTGGTAAGCAGGACTGTACTGTCACATCCTTATAGATAACTCGTACAAGTAATTTACAGAGAATTTATCAGCAAATTACAAATAAAAGTTGTCATTAAAGTATTATATATCGTCATTAACTTCTTGATAAGATGATAATATTTTGATCTTAGAAAAATTTTCAGAGCCTGTTAAACTTACTAAGGAAGATTATTTTATTTATATATCAAGTAAAAGTACTAAGTACTTTTTTTTGTACTTAAGTATCAGTACAAAAGTGTTCTTCTAGAAGTTCAAGTAAATTTTTTTGAAGTACAAGCATAATACTTTTACTTGCGGTACTTGTACTAATTCTACTTATGCTCGTTGATAATATATCTGGACTATTCCTCAATCGTAGTACTTGAATACGTATAAATAGTATTGTTACATTGCTGTAGATTTATTTTACGGTAGTACTACCCAATCAAATAAATAGAAAACACTTAGTAAGAAATATCGTATACGTAACTCAATCGACGATAGAAGAATCATGTATAAGCATCTCTTCATCTGGTTCTTCATTGTCTTCTTGACATTTATGTTCATTAGTGGTGTACCATTGGCAAAAATTGATGATGAAAACAATTTCAAATCGCAAAGATTAAGTCGTCGTAATGCTTCAGAATCGGTTGAATTCTTTAAAGTAGTCGACGAGGTTCGTCAAAATAATGAATATTTTCATAAAGACTTGAGAAAACGAGCAGCCTTCACCTCAAATCAGCGTCAATTTCAGAGGGAAGTGTTATCGGCACATAATTTCTATCGTGCTCGTCACTGTGCTAAACCTCTTCAACTCAATGATGTACTTAGTCGTTCAGCCCAAAACTTTGCTCAAAAACTTGCTAACACAAATCAATTTCATCATAGTGGAACTCCAGGTGTTGGTGAAAATCTGTACATGGCAATTAGTTCAAAGAGTATCAAAGTTAATGGTAAGTCATTTTGAAATTCTCAGATGTCTTCATCATATATGATTATTTTAACATTGTAGGAAATGCACCAGTAACTGCTTGGTATAATGAAATTCAACACTACAATTTTAATCGTGGAGGCTTCTCAAAGATTACGGGCCACTTTACACAAGTTGTATGGAGAAGTACGACAAAACTTGGTGTGGGTATTGCTTATGCTAATGGAGGTCGTTCTATTTATGTTGTTACTCGATATTCACCTCCGGGCAATTATGCAGGTCAATATCAAGCAAATGTACGCCGACAAGGAAGTTGCTGAACGGACTATTCTTATTGATGATTTAGCAATTGCAAGAAGACCCGTGATTTCATGTGTTTATATCAGCTGTTTTCTAAAAACCTCATCTATGCTCTAATACTCTTGCTCTTCTGTATCATTGCAATATTCTGATCTGTTACAAGAATGTTATTCAAATCTCATTCGGTTATTTTATCTGCTCTCTTTCTTAAGCATTTTCTTTTCTTCTGTCGGTTCTGCATTTTTTTCTCGTTTCTTCACTGATTGTATTTTTATGGATATTTCGTATTAAAAACAACATAAAGAAGAATCGTGTACTAGGATCGCTCATATGACTGATCAAGAATTATTCTTCGAAATGTGTTGCTTCATGGTAAAAAATCGATTTTCGTCATTCAATAAATATGTTGTATTTTAATTGTGCGACTATCTGCTGATGAAATTTCAGCTCCTTTATCTAGATGAGAATCTTAACGATGAGGACATAATGTTTCCTCAAAGGACTTTATCTACATTTATTGTTGTATCTTGACAGTATACAAAAAGCAACTCTCAGGTCGATACATATACAAAAACAAACATCGATGTGAAGTCCCCACGACGGTCAATTATATATCATATATAACCAAGTAATAGGAAGAATAAGTTTGCTAGACCAGCCTAGTTAGAGCTGTGATGTGGAGCTCAAATGTTATTTTCTTTTAGTCCAACTATACTAATACACAATATGGAAAATTGAAAAGACTGTTGAACATTATGGTTGTTTTTCAAGATAATGGATCAGCATAGAAATAATCTCACTCATTTATTTCTGCATTTCAAATAAAGTTTCTTCCTTTACTGGTGCTTTGTTTTTGTTTAAGTTGTTGTTATTCGATTATTATTTGTATTTTTCGTTTTTTCTTTCGTATTCTTTTTTTCTCAATTTAAGTGCATTACGATTGTAAACATTGATTGAACGGACAAATAAGCCTGTTATACAACATATACATTTTGTTTGCAGCAAAGATGAACAGATTGTCATATATTTCGATCAACTTTGAAACACTCATATTGGTTTTCTTTTAATTAACAACCTGATCAATTCAGTCTTTATATGAGGATCGCATTGACACTGACAAATCAATGCATCACTACCTATCACTCTTGGCATTTCATCATGTGTGTATTCTTCATCTATATCTTCTTTTCTTGTCACTATCATGCATGAACACGACTATGGTTGTGGGTGTGGATATTGAGAAAACGAAGACCGACAACTACCCACACCTCATATCCAATTCATAGAAAGAGAAACTTCAACAAACATTTGTTCATCTTTTGCGAATATTGGAAAAAAAATGCTCCAGAATGAAAATGAAGTAAATATTTAGAACAGTTCGAGTTTTAGTTACGATTATCGTTGACTACTCGACCCGTTTGAACCATCGATGAGCTTTCACTGATCCGCACGTGATGTCCTTTAGAAAGGAAGAAACTAAGCTTTGATTGTTAAACAAAACATGAAATAACTTACAAGCTGTTGTTGACCTTGATCGTTTATATAGCGAGTCGCTATCCATTCTTTGCCATTTTTGTCACGTGTTGTATGTTCCCAAGCGCCATTTTTGAATCGAACAATTGTCTAAAATATGAGATGAATCAACCATGTAGAAGAAAAGAACAATCATTTAAAGTAAAAGATCGACCTTGACTTCACGTCCGTCAGCCGTTTTGTCATCGAACTCAACGTCTGGTGTGAATTCGATCGTGCTCGTTTTGAGTGTGCTCTCCGATCGTAATGTCCACTTGCCACCATTCTCACTGATGACAAGGCGGGGTTTGATACCTTTGGCCATCATACGAGCTGCCATTCCGATACCAATCTCCTTCATAAGTGCGTCCATATTTTCCTCCTTAACCTAATGAACAGAGCTGAATGCAAAGCAAGTAGAATTTTGTCTACATACGTAATCCCAAGTTCCTTTGAGGGCTTCGATACTGTTGTTACAAGCCATGACTTATACGCTTGTTCAAGTCAGACAACTGCAAAAGACAAACTGAAACGACACGCAAATTACTTTTCTAGTAGAATAATATGTAAAATATGCATACAAAATGAGTAACCAAAGTTAAATGACTTCAATTTCGTATTAAGAACTTCGATTAACTGACTAGTTCAACTACCAAACATCTCAAACTAACATCTACTACACATATCCCAAAGAACCACTGACACATTCGAGTTCACTTAAAAAAAAATGAATTCAGTGTAGATTTATTATAGTGAGAAAAGGGATCCCATTTCCTTCGCTATAAACCTTGATAGACAAATTAGTTTATTATGATACATGTCAAAGGAATTTTCTTATTGTGAATGGATGTAAAGTTCCGAAATCAGGACAAAACCAGTGCTTTTGTTATTTTCTGTTTTACATCCTATTAGTTCGTGGCTGATATTTATCTATGCTGCTCCTTTGATGGATTAGTGTGGTTCTATCGTGTTTTATATTTGAATTTCGTAGAAACCGTGCTGAAAGATTTTTATAATCCTTCTATTTTTTTTCGAACAGAACCAGGAAAAAATAGAAATCAGAACGGAGTACAATGTCAATTTTACATGAAGCTCTCTATTCTTTGTCATGATTCTTTAGTAACATTTTGTTTCACCCAACCAAGCTTCAAATTGCACTGTTTTTGATAGAACATAGGAAAAAATTACAAGAACTTAACGGTGCAACTGATTGATGCCCAATATTGAGACTCAAATCTAGCCTTTTTTTAAAACTCAGCATGTTCAACGTTTCTCTTGCTTAAGTATAGGAAGACTACATGAATCACTCATAGGCGAATTCGTTGAAGGATACTATTTGAAAATAAAACAGCCATACAGAAATATAAGATGCAAAAATGAGATAGATAAATTAACCTAGATTAGTATCTCTAACCGCATGATGTTGATATGGCTCATCTGTATGTCATATTATTTGGCTGTTGTTGTCATAATTTTTTCTAAGATTTTTAATTGTCAACAAACCAACTGTTTTTTTTTCGATCGAAAAGGGATAATCAATAAAATTTTATAGAACGCTTACTATTTACTGAGACAATCGACTAGTGCACGTATCGTGATTTTATCACTGTGATAGGAATTCTGCTATTTTATATACCAAAAATGTATTTCGATTTCATTTTCTCGTGCAGCTCCTATTGATTTATCGATGCCGATCGTTTCTGCACTTTCTTTTCGTTCTTCTTAACGACACATATCGTCACAAGTTCGTTGTCAAAGTTTGAAACCTGTATAGTTATGTATATCATTCAAGTGACGCAAGTTTGCTTTTCTTTCTGTTTTTTATTCATTTCTTAAGAAACCTTAAATAAAAAATGAAGAAAAAAAAGCTACCTAATTACCTATGCTTGCTAGTTAGACTCTAAAATCATCAAAATTGTCATGAAAAAAACAATGTCATCACAAAATGTTTACTAGTCATCAACTTGATATAACGATAGCTGCGCTGCCCCGTACAGACACTTGCTCTAATTGCTTCATCGATCATTGTACACGATGTATTGCCTAGAAAAAACCTAATTTGATTAACAGTATGCGCTCTTAGACTATTCATAGTAGAAGAGATCAGCATTAAATCAAATTTTGAGTAAATTCACTTTTTTATAGAATCAGATAAGTGAGTACTATTTCCTTTCGAAATGAAGATTGACTGTCGATATCAATTTCAATCCGATAGAGATACGTCTTATTCATTTTTCTTCATCTCATAATTAATACTCGCAATGGTAGCCTTCAAACTTGTACGTTTATTTGTCCTCTCAATCCCTTGTGTGTGTGTGATTGATTTGTCTTCCCGATAGTATTGATACATACGATTGTTGCTGTCGGATTATTATTTCTAGTGCTATCTCAGCTAATTACTCTTCTGAAAGAAAGTAAATAACTAGAAATGAACCGAAGTTCTCATCCTTCCTTTTCTCATGATATTCATTTTGAGTTTCGACGTCAGTTTCAGAAAACTGTTGAGAAATATCTACGTCTACAAAATAATTCTATTTCAAATAACCAATCACGTTCAATACACAATATAAACAAATCAAACGCGTAGGCCAACAGAAAATAAAATGTTGGACGAACTTTTTATGTTTTGCACATCATTACGGTATGTTTTTACAATATTAACCAATATAATAAAAACTGTTCTTATGAATTTGAGCGAACTATATGACTGAATAAATTGTGCGGAAAATAGCCTAAACAAATACTTGGCATCGTTGACGCTTCGTCGTGTCACAAGCCGCTTTTTCACCGATCATGCCATCAACCGAACAGTTCTTATACTCTCTATGCTTTTCCTCCCACACATTACACACAGCATTTTTTTTTTGTCTTTTTATTTTTTTGATTACTTTTCTTTTTTTTTCAATATTCTTCATTTTCTCTCTCACTTATGATTACGAGAAAAACCAAACTTGTTGCCTTAAGCAAACAATATGTCGTGCATTTAAAAAAAAAACATGCATATTCTCTCTATGGCCAATTTCTTGGCTTCAACCAAATTCAATCTGAAATGACGGCATATAAGAGAAGTTGTTATTTGTAGAGCTTGCACGACTATTTCTAATAAATTCTTTTGCTGGAGAATAGTTACATTAAAATACACAATTCTTTGCAACTTCTTCTTTTCCGTAGATTGAAAACACTATTCATTCGATTTAAATCGATTGGTATCGACTCAACATGGAAAAAACTCACTATCCAAACAGTGATATTCCTAATGGAGTGTCCTCCAATGACCAGAAAAACAAATTTTTCACTGCAATAGTCAACTTTTATAGGTCAAAATTACATATTATCATGATTATCGTAGAGTTAGTGATTGGTGGTGTGGAACTCGGTGAAAGTATCAGATATTACAACCAATGTCCCATTCAACCCATGATTCCGACGTTTTTGCTCGTTCATGGAGCTGTATCAATTTTCTCGGCATTGATCATTATTTTGGCGATGATTAGTGCTCACCGTGTCA